ATTTGTTTACTTAAATGTTTTAAATGATTATTTTGTTTTATTTTATTTTATTTTTATTCTAATGGTTATGGATAATAGTCATGGGCCAATCAATTGGGTTCCATGGACTACTTGGTTAAGGGATTTAATAGGTGCAGATAATTACCCATGGATAGTGTATATATATACATATTTACATATCTAAGGAAAGTCATTTAGTGATAATCTGATGTATTTATTTTATTTATATAAAAAGAATATACATATATTATGCGTAACATATATTTTAGTTACATTTTTACTATTTTAATTTTATTATTTTCTTTATTAATTTGATGTGGATTGAGAAAACGAGTAGGGTTATTATTTAGTCTATAAATATATAACTACATGGTTGAAAAAGAGGACCAGAAATATATCACGTATTATATTTTAGAAGGAGAGAGAAAGAAGGAGAAAGAAGGAAGAGGAAGAAGAAGGAGGAGGCTAAGATTTTTTATCAAATCCCTAAAGGCAAGTTCTTATTCTACACTTCTCCTTTGATATGTATAATTTTTATCCCTAGTATAATTTTAGGATTATTTAAAGAATAAATAAAACTGGAATTTATAATTTAAATTGATCGAGAACATATGTTTTATAAATTATATCTTTCATGGTTGTTATTATTGTATGAATTGATAAATTCATGGATTTGATTTGATTTCTTTATGAGTTTATACATGTTTTAAATGATGTATTTTCATATCTGAGTATTGATGGAACCTAGAAACATGCTTTAGAATCCTTAAACAATAAAGATTGGGTTCACAATAGAATTCTGGGTTGAATCGCGTAAAACAGTGTTTGATTCGTTGATACAGTGTCGAGTCATGGGTGAAAAGTTCAAGCTTGAAAGAGGAAGCTCGATCCTGAAGCAGGAAGCTCGAGCAATTAGGACAAAAGCTCGAGCCTTACCTGGGGAAGTTTCGTAAATAGTGTTGAATTAATTTTAATTGAATTTGAAGGGCCCTAAAAATCAAGTAAGGACTATATATGAGTTTAAATAAATTCTAAACAAACTTAAATATAACAATGCATGCTATTTGATTCTTTGAGGAATAAATGGATTTAATCTTTATTTTGTTCTAATAATTAAGATTAAATATGTAGCATGAATTGTATTTGGAGAATGCTTACTTGGCTGTATAATAAAATATCAGCATGTTTAAGATTCAGTTTGTGTAGGATATGTGATGTAGGAAGCTTAAATAAATTATAAGTCATTCCTATTTTGTGATAACATGATATTATATTATTATGGTTATTTCTGGATTATTTGATGTATGTCTTTAATTGTTACATCAACTATTGGATTTTGTGAATGTAGTGCACCAGTATGGGATGGTGGCACTCTAGGGATGAATTAATTTATCAGTTAAGTTCTACCTATTTTATAAGAGAACGGATTAACTAAAATATTAAGTCTTACTTATATTTGTGTCAGGTCAACTGAACAAGTTGGATGATACATAGTGGATTACTTTAGATTGGATAATATATATATATATATATATATATATATATATATATATATATATAGACATATGTCACGATATGAGTTTGAGCCTCAGGATCAGTGGATAGGGTGCGTATATTGCTAGGGATGTGTAGCTAGATATAGTGTGGTTGTGTGTCTTGGTAAGTCTAGGTACTCATGCCCACTATATGTGCGTTTTGCATGTTGCCTACTACTTAGGTTGAGGCAACCCTATAGTCTAGTGAGGTTCATTTAGTGTGTATATGTATTATGGACTATATAGTTATTGCATGTGTTAGTTATAGATATATAGTTTCTCGGGTCTCTGTTTGGGTTGTCGTAGAACGAACTTGTTCGTGGGCCTGATCCACTATTATTATTATTTTTCAGGTGTTCGTCAGTTTCAGACATAGAGCTTGTTCGTGCTGAGCAGAGACAGTCTACAGCATTCTTCTGGTTCTACGTAGGACTCCCTTTATGTTTTAGTTTCGAATTATATTTATTTTCAATTGTTTTAGTTGAAATATCATTAGGGGTCCACTAGATGGATTCCCGAGTTGTAATGATATTAAAGGTTTTGGATTATTCAGTTGGAGGTTAATTATTTATTAATTTAAGGATTTATTGCTATTTTATTTATTCTTAGTTATTTCTTTTGTAATCATTTGCTTGTTTATATACTTAATTGTTTGGTATCCTTCAGATTTGTGCTCGGACTTGATCATCCGTGGCTCTAGAATCGAAGGGTATCACAACTTGTGAATGTATATTTGTATATATGTTGCATTTCTATTTCAATATTGCTTAGCGCACTTGGTGTATACACTTGTATATTTTTGATTTAGTAAGGTAGATAATTTAGTATACTTATGGCTTGTATACTTGTCTTACGTGTAATTCAATATTGATCGTATACTTGTGCATGCATACTTGTATATTGGATGTCTTGTTGCGTAGTACCGCATGCTTCTATATTGTTTAAATTGCATGAATGGTGTGATTTATGCTAGAAATGCTTTAAGGTAGCTTAGGATGCTCCTTGAGTCTCACCTTGGATATAGACGCTAGGTGGCATGGACTTTATATATTGATTTATATCAATTTAATGAACAGTAAAACGCTAGATCTATGCATGCTCATTTCCTACGAGTAACTTTATGTTACTCACCCACGTAGTGGGGACATTTTTCAGGTACATGAATCAAGATTCATGATTTATACTATGCCTTGGATGATTTGTAGACTTGAACTATTTAATTCATACAAATGTTAGTATGAAATGTCATTTGTAGCTTTATATATCAAAACTTGTATATTTGGTTCTAAATATGTAATGTATACATAAGTACACCTTTTATAATGTATTTGACATGTACGAGATGAGGCCATAGGCCATGGATATTTATTTTGCATTTTATGTATTTTTATTTTCAAGGTTATTTTGTTGAAAAATAGAAAAATGCAATGCTTTAACTCCATTATATTTGTATGGGTGGTAGGAAGTGGGTTTTAACACTTCCATAGGGCCTCTTCAATCATGCATGAAGTTTGGCCAAGGGTCAAACGGTCATTTGAAACACTTTTATAGTTTTAAGTTTCAAATTTTCATTTTAAAGTTCTTTTTAGGCAAAATTGAGTCTTGATAGGTCAAATTTTGCATCGGGTATTTATGGGGCCCACGGATCATTCCCGCACGCTTAAAAACATTAATTACGTTTACGTGCATGATCACTTTAGTACACGACGTCATTTAGGATCAAATGAACACTTCATGAGAAGTTGCATTTTCATTGTTTTGGCCTAATCTGTTCCAAGGGTATTCTGGGCATTTCATAGCGCGTTTTAAATTTTGCTTTCGATATAGTTGGGTAGAAAACTTGATTTTAGGGGGGGTTTCTTCTTTGTGTTTTTCCAAAAAAGTCTATTTAGATGCCTATAATAGCTCTCAGTTGCAGCAAAGGACTGTTGTTAGCAATAGTGTCTGTCATGGCTTGTGCCGCGCGCACAGCATGCGCGGTGCGCGACGCATGGCCCGCATCACGCCCGCGCGCGCCATGCCTCGGTGCCCCCGAACGGCACGCGCGTGGGCTGTTGGCCTAATGCCTTATGCCGCTGCGATGTCATTTCTTTTCCGGGTCCGTTCTTCCTTGTTCGGATTCCGAATGAGATGAATTTTTTTTTTTGGAATTTATTAATTTTTCGTCGTCTATCCAGTGGTGTGCTCGGTTGCACTTGGATCTTTTTGAAAAATTACCAGTCTGCCCCTAGGGCTTTATTTGTTAGTTTTTGGTTGTTAGGCTATAACTTCTTCGTCCGAATTCCGAATCAAACGATTTTTGAGTCCAACTTGATTAATTTTTCGTTGTTTATCCAACGATGTGCTTGGTAGCACTCAAATCTTGCTAAAAATCTCATTTTGCCCTTGGGGCTAAACTTATCCGGTTTTGCTTTCTAAATTGCTTCCGCTATGCTTTTTTTTGAGTTCTGTGACTTCATGGGAAGTCACGGATATGTCTTGGAAATTATGTACATTTCCAGAGACATTGCTTATATGTAAAAAGACTATTTTGTCCTTGGGGTCTTTTTTGGTCTTTTTTTTTTTTTTTTTTTTTTTCGCGTCGGTTCTCGTGGAGTTCCGTGACCTCATAGAAGGTCACTTTAGCGTCCTAGGGATGTTGTATATGCTAGAGACCTTGTTTCTGTTTTCGCTTTTGCATTTCGGATTCGTTATTGAGTCAAACTTCGGTTTATTACAGGACGCACTGGTTTGAAAAATCAGGGTGGTCACAAATCGTGCCTTGAAATTAAAATTTAATTTAAATTATGAACTAAATTTTCCCAAATACAAAGTGATGTTAAGTTTCTGCTTTGAAGTTAAAAATTTACTCCATATTGTTATGGGTATGAATTTGAGGTTACCAAAAAGAAAAAGGAAAGAAAATTTCCGAAATCTGGAGGACAAGGCGCGTGCCTCTTTTGTGTATAGCTCGAGAGTAGGACTTTTATATCACTCACCCGGCACCAGAGACTCGTTAAAGGTTGGTTGCAAACACGGGCATCTCTAAGTTGTACTTTTATTTAATTTATATACTAGTAATTGAAAAGTCTAAAACTTGAATTATCATAATACAAATTATATAGCAATATTTGTTGGTTTAGTCGTGAAATAAAAATAAATAAAAATGGTTGGCTTAGTCAAGCCTTCCTCACTAAGGATTTGACAGAGTAACACGGATACAGACTTTATTTATTTAGTAATAGTATTTTATTTTATTTTATTTATTTTTTAATTTTTAATTTTAAGTTAGCCAAATAACAATGGGGACAACTGGACAAGTCCTATTTTTAACCCATCAATAAGTCCAACCACTATATTTGGCTTGCTTTTTTAAAAATAATAATACTAATAATACATAAATAAAATTGTAGACAAGCTCCAATTGTACAAACATTACACGTACATGAAAATTGTGAAATACTCCAGAAAGATTTGTTCAACATTTTTTCATTGTTCAATTTGATTAGAGTTTCCTGTGTTTGAATAATGTTTGTCAAATAGATCAAAAACTTGGGGTAAAAATTAAAATGGTTGAGAAAATTTGGTCCCATAATTAGTTGATTTGATTTTAAATTTCAAGGTTTAGGCATAACCTGAAACCATATTAATGGTTGTTAGGCATATTGAATGAACTAACTATTCTTGAACATGGGCCTTTAACTAATAGCTCGAGTCAGCTAATGATTTAATAAGTACATATAGAATGTACCGGATATAAGAAGCGAGTACATATACCGTGGTAACTTTACCCGACTTAGTTTTAAACCCAGTGGAAAATACAGCTAGCAAACAAACTGTATTTATCGGTAGCCTTGTGGTGACCACTATTGCCTCTTTCCGTTCTTCTCTCCTACCACCCCTCTTTGGCCGCGATTGACACTTGAAATTATATACTAATTGGTGAGTTCCTCTTAATCAATCTTAGATGTTACTATCATTTTCACTATTGGGTTCCAATGTATACGCTTGTTGTTACAATGCCCTCTACATGCTTGATAAATTGCCTCACACACACACACACACACATACATATTATACACATGTTGTGTGCGTGTATGTATGTATGTACTGGAAGCTGTTCGCTACATCAAAAATCAATCTTACATTTCTTTCTTTATCGATACATTGAATGGTAGTCAAGGCAGAGAAAGCAAATAGGTCAGGTCTTCCATGATCCAACAGAAAGAGAGATTAAAAAAAAAGAGACTGAGTTGATTGTATATAGATAGGTGTCTGATGCATATGTTTCTGTGCAATTTTTAAAATAAATATGTGCCAGCGTGCGAATCTATGTATAATTATCTCTAGGTTGCAGAAAAGAAGCATAGCAGTATGTTTAACCTTTACCACTACTTTAGCTAAGAAGCCTGAGAGGCTAAGATGGCTTTATTCATCATCATAATGTAAACCTGGGATGTGTTAAAATTTTCAATTATTTGTCAAAAGTATGAATGCCCTAGTTCCCATAGCCATAGAACAACATTTTCTTTTAATCAATGCAAGAATCAAATCATAACCCCCTCTCTCCCTATTAGATGCCATTATGACACTTAACCATCATGCTACAATGACCTTGGCGCCACAATATAGAATATCTATTATGAGTAAGATGCTAAATAACATTATATACTGAATCAAAGACACTTAAATCATAATGATTGTTCTTGTCCATGTGATTTGATAAAATATATGAACCAAAAAAAAAAAAAAAAATTGGTATAATATATACAAAGGGAAGATTGAGGAGAGAGAACAGTGTTATGAACTTCGAGATGTGGTTTGATGGAATTGGTTTCTTTAGATTGAATGGTAGATGGCCACTTGGTTGGAGAAACACAGGCGATTGATTCACTATGGAAGCATGATGCAAGTATTAGTAGTTGAAAGCTTGTACAAGGAACTTAATTGAATATTAATGTAATGGTTTCTTATGAGCATTAGAAATTCATACGGTGGGATGACATCAGAGGGAAGAAAATATATGGACCTTATAATGTGGTTCGTCAATCCTTATTGCTCAATGCTTATATGTGGGGTGCCAAGGTGTTAGGGAGTATGAACCGTCACATATCTGTTAGATGGTCAAAAAGACATTCTTTAATTTCTAAAGGAAGAATTGTAATATATTCAATCATTGTTAATAAGCCCTTTGAAGGCTAGATCTTCTACTATCTATTTTTGGTAAAGCTCGGAAAGGCATTTTATTGTGGCCATTTTTGCACTATGTTTTTCTTTAATTGAATTGTTGGGAATAGGTCTAGTTGCCCAGCTGTTTTATGCAACTAAGAAATCCTCCAGTCCAGAATATAAAGTGGCTCGATTGGTTAGGTCATCATCTTAATCTGGGAAAAAAATACAACAACAACAACAACCGAGCCTTTTTCCCAATTATTTGGGGTCGGCTACATGAATTCCATGTTTCCATTATGCTCTATCTAAGGCCATAGCCTCAATCAATTCACATGCTATCATATCTTTCTTTCTTAACTCTACCCACATTAATATTGGTCTTCCTCTTCCCCTAGTATTACCATCAATGTGGACTATGTCACTTTTCCTAACTTGCGCACTTAAAGGTGTCCAAACCATCTTAACCTATTTTCTCTCATTTTATCTCCAATTGGTGTTACTCCAACCATCTCTCGAATGTGATCATTTCTAATTCTATCCTTTCTCGTCTTACCGCACATCAATGTCAACATTCGCATTTCTGCCACACTCATTTTATGGAAATGTTACTTCCTAGGTGCCCAACATTCAATATCATAAAGTATGACTGGTCTAATAATAGAACTCCCCTTTCAATTCTAAGGGGATACGCCTATCTCACGATATAATATTACTAGATGCACTACTCCATTTAACCCATCTTTCCTTGATTCTATGATTAACGTCATCTCCAATTTCTCCCTCATTATTAATAATTGAACCTGAGCCTCGTTATGAATAATTGAGCCTTGGAGATTTATTGTCCATGTAGGTTTTACTAGGATCCAAAGAAGTATTTACGGTCTGAGAGAGAAGCTTGGTGATATTATTATTGTTGTTGTTATTAGCATAATTGGAAGTCAAAGCTCTTTACCAAAATTTTAGTTAAGATGTCACAACTAGCATGCAAAATGCTTAGTGACTTAGAATATAATATGTTGTATCCATTAATTTATTTTATTTTTTTGATAGGAAACTGGGAAGAGGATGAGGATGAATCGATGATATTCATGCTCTAAAGGAGACTCAAATCCTAGCATATTGTTTTACTGCTAAGATACCACTAAGCGGCTGGAATCTTCATAACATGTCAGACCCGTGGTCATCAGTGTTGTTCAGAAATTGATATGTTTACTTATTCGATATTATACTTATTAATATGCTTGCTGCATGTGTTACCTCATGAAACAACAATTTCACTACTATTTTTTTAATTATTATTATTATTTTTAATCTATTATTATTATTTTTTTACCTTAACAAAGTCTTATTATTATCATTCTCAATTGTGTACAGGTAATGTCGGCAACTTCATGTTCCCATGATTGTAAGGAGGATGAAGAAGAGGATTATGTGTTGATCGATCTAGATGGTGTTTCTGGGCATGTTCACATTCCACCAAATGCACCATATGTTCTATCGGTACATTTATAAACCTGCAATATTTGTCTTTCTAAAATCTTTTACCTAAGCAATTTGGATTTTATTTTATTTTTAATTCTTCAATATCGCCCGTTGTTCTGAGGGTTTGAACATAATGTTACATTCAATTCCTGTTCAATTTTATTAAAGTTCTTTGTGTCACAATATAGTCGCATCTTTTAAGCATTCCATATTCTGGATACCTATGCAAATGTGACGTCTTTTCAAATTAGGCGTACTACTTGGGTATAAGAATTTTTTTTGTCTGGAATATATAAACTAACTATTTGGATCATGAATATATAAATATATTGAAGGACTGAACCTTTATTTATCTCGCAAACATGCAATCTTGGATTTCTGCTAAATGTGGGTTGTTAAGGAGATTTCTGGCTCAAAAATTAATGCAGACAAAATAAACTAACCTTCTGATTAGTTGAATTTAGTCTTCTGATTTTTTTTGCATGATTTTCCGTTGGTCACTGGAAGAATGCAAAAGTTTCAATTATTCGAGCGTCAATTTACTGAGGAAGGTTTCATTTTGCATTGCTGTTTAACTTCTTGCAGAAATTGCATTTTCTGAGTTAGAAGTGGAGGATGATGGTTTCTTTCTATGGATTTTGTGACCTAAAAATGTTTTTCTCTTTTTCAATAGCACAGATCGAAAGAGCGGATAGATAGATTAAGAAGTGTTTTTTAGATCTACTCATCAAAGTTATCATTTTATCTCCTGTTTATATTGTTATTAAGATGTTCTAAAAAACTGCAGGGTCTGGACACGATGAACCCAATTTTGATTATTGATGACAAAGTGAAGCTGGTGAGTTAACGGCTTGCAATAGTTTTGTTCAGTTTGAGTGGGATTTATGTTATCATTCTGAGTTTTAACATTTTGTCTTTGATATTTGAAATAAATATATGCTGGACTACAAATTGTTCCTTTTTAATTGTTTAAGATGTTATGGTACTCTCTTCTTCCCCTTTTCTAATTCAAGGATTAGTGGTGAAAAATTGGCAAAACATTGGCTGTGCCTCCATGCAAATTGAAACCTTGGATTGGTTCAATGTCTTAGGCCTACTAAAAATAGTTCATGCTTTTGATGTGAACCTTGAAAATTTCTATGTAGGAAATTTTCAGCAGTTAATGTTGTTCTTATTCTCAATTGAATTGAACCTATACTTTTGGTAACATTTATATGAGTCTATTATGTTTTCTTATCATTTATTAAACACATGCATTCTAAGATTCCACAATGGAATTTCTTTGAATCATTGTAATATTTTATATGGTGAGAGTTTCTATATTCCGTGGGTTCTATATTGTTTGTTGGCACCACTTTAGAGTGATCCCAAGAGGAACTAACTGAATTTGAATTCCATGGGGCATCTACTCTTGCTCTGCTCTGAGCTGATCTGTTAATGCTGGTGTATTGTTCCTAGAGATGCTTGTTGTCACTCACATTGACACAGGCCATATGAAGCACAAATTTACAATGTGTAACACAATCTCATGGATTCACTCATGCCATTCTTATGTTTATGCTAAATATCTCCTCAAGCTAACTATTAATAAATGAAAAGTGGTCATTTTACACGTGGGCCTGTTTTTGGCACTACACCTATCACTGTCTTAATGCAATGGAGACAACTGAAGTCACTTGGTCAGATCAAATTTCTACCCAACAAGATCTAGTTGGTGAAAATGCGTTGTTTGCTTAATCATCTGTTAGTGTGGGACAGTGTGAAGAAACTCTAGTTCGATTTAATGCCACAACTTATAAGGACAACAAAGAGGAATTAAGGCTTATCATGATCAATTTTGTGGATTAAACATTGGTAAGGGTATGGATTTTAATTTTTACAGTGCTTTTGGATTCAAGGAGTTGGAAGGAAAGAAAAGGAAGGGAGAGGGAGGAAGAGTTTACCTTGTGTTTGCTTTAGAAATAACAACTGATAAGGATAATAAAGAGGGATTAAGTCTTATCATGATCAGTTTTGTGGATAAAAGGTTGGCAAGGGTATGGAGTTTTACAGTGCATTTGGATTCAAGGAGTTGGAAGAAAAGAAAAGGAAGGGAGAGGGAGGGAGGGAGAGATTACCTTGTGTTTGCTTTAGAAATAAGGAGTGAAAGGAAAGGAATGGGAGGGAGGAGTAGGATTTGTTAGCCTCTCAAATACTAATTTTGTTGTTCGTCCAAAAGTTGGATGATTTGAAAGGAAAAGATAAGGGAACTAGTGATTAGTCATTTTTCTCATATTATTAATACAAGTGAACTTCCGTTATTTCCTTTCCACATGGATAATAAAACATTTCTTCCTTTCCTATATGTTATTTTTCCCGAGCATTGTCAGCACAATCTTTCCTTTATTTTTTTTTTTGCCTTATTAGTTATCAAAATACACTGGAAACAACCTCTCCATGCAAATGTAAGGCTGCATACATCTAACCCTCTCCAAACCCCGCAATGGTGGAAGCCTCGTGCATTGGGCTAGCCCTTTAGTTATCCAAATACAATGGAAGATTAATTAAGGTTATCATTTTCTTTATCTTCTCTCTAAACTAATAATATCCTGTCCTTTTCTTTGTCCTCCTACTTATCAAAATTTTAGGGGTTCAACACCTGGGCTATAAACAGTACCAGTGAGTAGCAAGAATGATCTTTTATTTATTGATTTTTTCTTTTCTGGATTGTGGATTTTTGAGCCATTTTTTTTTTTTTTTTTGATAAGTAATAATGAAATAAAAAGGCGTTCAAAAGGGGAACGCGTCCCTTAAACAATAGTGGAACCGGGGGCTAAGGCCCCAAAGAATTCGAAAAAGTAATTAAATCATTAGAAGAGGAGCAAGAACTCCTCTTCACATAATTGAAGAGAGAACGAATAATAAAAAGATTCAACGTCGCCGTAGACGACTCCTCCCTTCGAGCATTCTACTATTTCTCTCATTCCAGATACACCACCAAACGCAATGTGGGACAATTCTTCAGTAATCGCGTACACCCCTATTCACACGACATCCTTTCTAAGCATGAATCAAATCCTTAGAGGAACGTAGCATTACCCAACGCATGCCAAATAACCCAAGAATAAGATTCCAACAGTCGTGCGCCACAGGACAATGCATTAAGAGATGATCAATTGACTCCCCATCTTGCTTGCATAGGCAACTCCAATTAACAAAACAATTTCCCCTCTTCCTCAAATTATCAATCGTCGGTATCTTGCCCCAAACAGCGGTCCATACAAAGAATGCCACTCTAGTTGGAGCCATAGAACGCAAAATGGTCTTCCACGGGAAGTCAAGGCTATCAAAATTAGACAGACATAAGAACAAAGATCTTACTTTGAAACGACTGTGAGAAGAGGGAATCCATGTCAAATTTTCATAACCCGTGCCAACTCCCTCCTGCCGATACAATTGATCCAGAAAAACACTTACCTCGTCCAACTCCCAATCCTGAAATGAACGCCGAAAATACACGTCCCACGTAATCCCACTACTATCAAGCCGATAACAGTCAGCTACGTAGGCATGTTTATCAACTGCAATACTGTATAATCTGGGAAATGTACGAGATAATGATCACCACACCAAAGATCTTTCCAAAAACGAACACATCTGCCGTCACGAACTTTGAATTTGATATGAAAGGAAAAGGCATCCCATCCCTTCCGAATGGATTTCCATATCCCAACTCCTCCCACAAGAGAAACCGGACGGGTAGACCAACCGCCAAAGTCTTCCCCATACCGACATGAGACTAACCTTCACCAAGGACGATGTCTTTCCTTCCCATATCTCCACAACCATTTACCTAGGAGGGCTTGATTAAAAGGAACCAATTGGCTAATACCAAGACCACCTAACTTCATGGGCTTGCAGACTTGCTCCCATCTGACAAGGTGATACTTGAACTCTTCTCCCCTTCCGCTCCAAAGGAAATCCCTTTGAATTTTTTCAATCCTATTAGCAACGGAGCATGGAATTTGGAACATAGATAGAAAATATGTGGGGAGGCTCGATAAAGTGCTCTTAATAAGAGTAACTTTACCCCTTTTAGATAAGTATTGCTTCTTCCATCCTGCCAATCTCTTCGCATGTCTGTCAATCATAGAATCCCAACTCCCTACTCTCCTAGAAGAGACCCCTAGGGGCAAACCCAAGTAAGGAATAGGAAAGGAACTCACCCTACACCCAAGGACTGCAGCTAAAGAAGAAATATCCTGAACATTCCCTACCGGGATAAGCACACTCTTAGCCACGTTTACCTTTAGCTCGGAAACCGCCTGAAAACAAGCTAGGATGCACCTCAAATATCGAAATTGAGACACATCAGTATCACAGAAAACCAGGGTGTCGTCTGCAAAAAGTAAATGAGAGATCTCCACCTGATGGACTGTCTCTTCTCACCCTGAATCCCTTAATGAGACCAAGATCCTCTGCTCTGCGCATAAGTCTGCTTAAGCCCTCCGTCACAATTAGAAAAAGGAAAGACGACAAAGGATCACCTTGTCTGATACACCGAAAAAAACTAGCGGGAGATCCATTCACAAGAATTGAGAAGTTGACAGACAAAAGACATGTCTCAATCCATATCCTCCATCTACTTCCAAACCCCATTCTTTGTAACAAATAAAGTAGGAAATTCCAGTTCACATGATCGTACGCTTTCTCAATATCAAGTTTGCATGAAACTCTAGGAACACCACTTCACAATCTAGAATCCACACATTCGCCTGCAATAAGAACTGAATCAAGAATTTGCCGTCCTTCAACAAAAGCATTTTGGGAATCCGAGATAATCCCATCCATAACTTCCCTCATCCTTAGAGCAAGCATCTTAGTTATGAGTTTGTAAATACAACCCACTTAGCTAATTGGTCGAAAATCCTTAATGTCAGAAGCGACTCCCTTCTCAAGGATGAGGGCAATGAATGAGGCATTTAGCGACTTCTCAAAGATTCCAGTAGAATGAAACTCCTGAAAACCCATCACCTCATTTCTCACTACCGCCCAACTTTCCATCAGAAAACGCATAGTAAACCCATCAGGCCCGGAGCTTTGTCCCCATTGATGGAGATAAGGATTGGTCCTTATCAAAGTAGGCTTGTTATAGCTGGAGAGAGTGATTACCAGGTTTTATTATGGAGTTTGAAGGCTTGAAAATGCGTAAACTAAAAGAAAACCAAGAAATAAGAGAAGAAGATTTGTATTAGACTTGGATTTGAAATTGCATCACATAATCCTCATAGAGCTTCAGAGCTTCTGAAGCTTCATTCTACTTATATTTATTCAATAGAAAGCATGGTGTAGTGCTATGCAAGGGCAGTTTGCTATTCCAAGAATCATGTTAGTTGAGGATAAGGCTGACTGGTTATATATTGACCTCTATTTGGTAAAGTCATTTTATTGGAATAATCTGATCAGGCATAAAAGTGAGGCAGCAAATAAGCCTTTCTTTCTTCTTCTTCTTCTTAATTTATTTTTTATTTTTTTCCCCTCAAATACCAGATCAGAGGTGGTTTTCTTGTCGATCAGACAAGAAAATGAGGTGCTACCTGACATGAACCCTTTCTTGAGATTCCCAATCTCCATACTTTGACACTTTGACTGGCAAAAGCCATACATGCCTACTGGATTCCACAAATAAAGTCCCAATATCACTATTTGGCCCAAAATACGACACATAGACCTCTTCAACAGCCTATTTCCAACAAATTTTGTAATTACCAAATAGCAATAAACTCTTGACTGTTAAAACATGAAAAAGGTACATGAAATTAAACCGGTAGCATGTTAACTTAAAGAAGCCATATATAAGACCTATTTTGGTTCAGAACTTATTTGTGCTAGCTCCTAAGAGGACCCTGCCTTGGAATTGTACCAAGTGCTCATAATAGAATTTGCTCTTTCTTGAGCCTTTTATTGACTGCATCATCTGCATCTGTAGCGGTGAAATGAATTGAACTATTCTCGTTGTTTTTATTTTCCCATGGCTTAGCTTTTCTTTCCTTTTCCTTTTTCTTTCTTCAGTTGACCATGGTAGCTTACAAGGACAAACCCATGATTCTTTATCACTTGTTGATTTCACAGATTGGAGAATACGAAGAAACAATTGGAACATGCCTTGTTTTCACTGAAGAAGGTCAGTCGCATTTCTTTCCTACTATTTAACCCATCTCTAGAGCTATGCCTAGAAGCATTTCCCTATAAAATTACACAACTATTATTGGCTGCTTATACTATCATGCTCTTTTGAGTTGCCAAGGAGGTGGAGGATTCCAAATATTATTTTTCTTCCTTCCCCCAAGCCATAAACAGTTTCCCATACATGGCAAGACCAGATGCCCAACATGTGATGGTTGTGAGATTCTCTTACCTGGTAATTTGTAACATGCAACAGACTGATAATGTCTATGAGACCCTGTCTTTTTTATGTGACTTGAATTTTTAAGCATATAAATTCCGTTTTCAGTCTTGTTAAAAAAAAAGGGTCCGTCAGTACAAGTGTATCCATGGCTTTAATTTATGCATTTCTAGTAACAACATTTGTTCCCGCCAGAAGTTCCAAATTCCAACAAGTTTTTAATTATTTTTGGTATACCGAAATTGGTTCTTGTAGAGGAGCTTCTCTCCTTTTTTCCGGATCATACAATCCTCTTTAGAATTCCTGTTATTTTCTACTAAAAGAAAGATTTTAATTTCATTATGTTTTCTCTGGTTGCTCCCTGTCCATGATAAGCAATGTTTAGGAAGTGAGAAAACTGTAAAAATTGGCATCACCTTACCTCTGCTGCAAAGAAATTCTTCTTGCCATTACACTTCTAGTTCAGATTTCAGAAGTAATGATTGAATGGAATTGTGGCTATCATTTATGATACTAATGCAACATTTTTTTTTTTTTTTTTGAAGTGGCCCCCGTGGTTCATGAAGAGACAGGACCATCTGAAACAAACCTTTTCTCGGGCAGATGCATAATAGACCCAAAGCAAGCTTCAGTCAAGGAAGTCAAGCCAATTGCCCGCCTCCACAAGATTCTCAAGTTTAGATTATTGCCTGAAGATGATGATGTTGAAGATTCAGTGACCCAGGAGGCTAATATGTAATAGTAAATTATTAACAAATGACAGGTATGATGTCTAATCTTTCCAAAATGAAGGAAATACAGTCGACTGCATCCAAATGCAAAATCAAAATTGTAGATATTGAGTATTTCGAGTATTGAGATTGAAAAATATCACTCATTCCAACGTGTTATGTAGATATTGTGTCAATCCTTTCCTATTACCAAATAATTATAATACTATTTTCCTTTGTTATTTTTTGCTCTCATTTGGTTGGAATGATAGTAGTTATTATTCATATCTGTATATAGTTCTCATTTAATTTAAAAAGAAAAGAAAATGAACAGGATTGGCAAATCCTTTTACATGAAAAAGAGGAAGCATATGTTTCCCATTTCCTAACACGTCTAATCCCATAGAATATGTTGGATTTCATGAGAACTCGTGTGCTCTATAAGTGTTGGCATGTGCAACCAAATAGGATTTTATTTTGAAAGCTTAATGTTTCTTCATTTCATGGAAATAGACTATTTTCTCTCTGAGCCCGAGGGTAGTAGAATTACTGAACTTACATTGAGTAAACAATACAGTGTACATGGTGACCATAGGTTTTAGGGGACCCGATTTGGGTAAATTCAGTTACCTGTCTTTTCTGATTTTTTTTTTTTGGGAGAATTGGCCAACGAGCATGATCAATAATATCTAATACCCAACCCACCGGCCATGGCTTGTAGCATTTAGCATCTTCTTCATTGCATTAATGATAGTTTGCTGCGTGCATGTTGGAGCAAATTATGCCTGTTAGCTACTTAGAGTTCGATTACAGAGCAGAGAAGATTTAGTATCTGATAAAAAAAAAAAAAAGGGGTACTAAACCATGAGTTTGTGCAAGAACATATAACAATCAGATGCAGTAGGGTAGCCCTAATTGTTGCAACCAATGGAGCAGTTGGAGTTAGATGATTTCATTTTGTTTAGGCATGGTGGGTAGGGATTCAATATCTGATGACCCCAGAAGGGTCCTACAGGCATACTGTTTCTCTTTTATCATAGGTCACTTCTACCGTATAGATAGGGTTTCCATAGTGACCTCTATAACCAAAAGGCTCATATCTAACAACACTATTTAGGGCATGTGACTTCATTTACCAGAGAGGTACTTTGGCTTTTGGGTGAGACTAATTTCAAGTCATTGGATTACTGGAGTTTGAAGTCACATTTGGGACAGTCAATGTCTGAAATCACGACTTGTAGGGGACAATCACTAGCTATATTATATATAGTTATTTAACAGTTTTTCAAATGGTTTCTCAATTTTTATTTTATACTTTTGCAAGGATGGTGTTGCGTGTTGGTTCTCAAAATGGATTCGAAGTTATTGTTGAGCGTATGGGTTGGGAATTTAATTGAGTTGGTGAGACATTCCTGAGATCATTTCTGAAATAGAATGTTTTTGTATTTTTAACCACGTAAATTGGTTGAAGACACCAAGTGCTGTTTTGGTCCTGACATCTTGTCATGTTGTTAGTTTTGAGAGATACAAAGATAATAATTCATGTTTTTGACACGAGGACAAACGTTGTGAAAGCTCTATCTAAAAGGACAAAGTAGTTCTAGAAGGGCCATATATAATCAATTACGTCTCTAAGCATAACTGACTACCTACCAGTAGGACCACCACTATTACGTGGGGAGAGAGGAGTGGGGAAAATATGTACCAAGTCTAATCTAAGTCCCGTGGAGTGGAAATATGAGAGTAATATAATTAAGTTATAAATAGTGAAAATTTGAATCGTGCATGCGGAGTGTAAGAGCGGGAACGAGCATGATAGCGACACCTATTGAAAAGATTTGTATTACTTATGATATATATATATATATATATATATATATATATAAAAGAAGGGTTAGAAGTTATATTAATAAATGCAGATAGTAGAAACTTGACATTTTAAAAATCACCGGAGGTCTAATAATGTTTTTTTAGCAAATGCAAAAAATTATTATATAGTCCGGAATTATTGGTCTATGAACAATCACAACGCGGGAAATTAATGTGCAAAATTACCAACCTTGATGTGATGCAGATGGTTTCCTGACTAAAATTCTTAATTGACAGAGAATGCACGATGTTCACCATTTCCGACTCTTGGTGATATCTTCATACATCTGCCATGAGAATAGCTGGTAACCAATCTTTAGACAAAGGCTTGAACTTATCTTACCCATATCAAATTTCACACTGTAACAACGAGAAGGATAGAGAGAGGTAGGTCATATATATATGTGTGTGTGTGTGTGTGGTCGTATTATTTTTAGTTATTCACACACCTCCTTTCTTTAAGAAATTATAATTGAATCTTAAATCCGACTAGAGTCAAGTGACTTACTGGAATCAACCTTGAAATCAAACTTTAAACCTATACTTTCAAGACACCAGAGTTAAGTTACCTACATACTTGATCCAACCATTAGGGGGAGGTCAAATTTGTTTATTCCTGTTTTCACTCTAGTACAGAAAACAAGAAGTAGAAGCTAATAAGCATATCAAATCAAGAATCATCATAAACAGCAAGACAAATCCTCATCAATAGTGATTGATACAAACAAAAACAGTTTCATATTAACATCATTTGTCCAATTTAAAATTTGAAAGAGTTAAAATTTTTGCTCTCGTGTTCTCAGCTTCTAGCATAGAAATCACAACATGCCAGAAAATGAGTCGGTCTGGCTGATAAGCAACCTGAAACAAAAAAATTTGAAATAAATTTAATCTTTGAATATTATTTTTTCACAAAGTGATTGTTTGTATTTAAATTTCTGATCCCATGATAACAATTTAGATTTTTAGAAATGGAGTTAGGGCATGACTAGCAAGTTGCAGTTCCTGTGCTTAGTAAATTGAGACAACTTTTTGAGATGTATCTTCCCCATCACCAAATTACTCCAACAAAAAATATGCTAATTTTTCACTCAGTTGCTGAAATGATGGGATAGGCAGTTAGGCACAGAGAAAATATGATTTAATTAGTTTTTTTTAGTGCACTTTTGACCCTCCAAGTGGCCACAATTATTTCATGTGGGATCATCACACTTCATTTTCCATGCCACTATATAATTAAATAAGAATAAAAGTTAAAGTAGATGAACATTAAAATCATATCTTCCAGTGCATAATTCTTTACTTTTTATTATAAAATAGAAAAAAAGATGAAAAGCTCAAAATTATAAAACCAAAAGTGCAAATCATACCAGAAGCAAGACACAAATAGCAGCAGCATATTCTCAAATGAAATGATACACAAAAGCAAGACCAAAAAACATGCTCATATTCACAACGTGTTCCTCTCACTCTCTCTCTCTCCTACTTGTACAGAGCCAGAACTTGAACTCTAAAAGTTCCTTATCATATATCAGGCCATGGCCTGAATATGTTCCCGGAAAACTTCCAACATGTCAGTGAAAGTCACAATTCCGGTTAAGCAATCATCATCTTCGATGACCCAAACATAGTTCACGCGGTGAGCAATCGCCTGAATCATCACTGCCACCAATGAACTCCATGGATGGCACACTATTGCCTCCGCTCTCCTCACCATCCTCGCCGAGTAGCTGCTAGACCTTCCGTGCCTCCCCGACCGACGCAATGCCGTCGTCGGAGACTCCTCGTCCGACGACGAGTTCGAGTTGGAGCCAACATCAGAAGAGGACGAGATCGCAAATTCCTCCAACATTGCCTCCGAATTCCTCTCCTTCAACCTCGCCTTCACCACCCTCACTATATCCTCCGGCGGACCGCCGCAGTCAATGTAAGCCATCAGGTCCCCGGCCGAGAGAGTGGTGATGGCCGCTGCGATCGTCTCGTCGCAGCAGTTGAGAGTAAACGGCGAGATCTCGCCGATCAGAATGCCGTCGTCGTCGACGACGGCGACGGATGTTTGGTCGGCGAGAGAGCTGGATATGGCTCCAATCGCCGATGAGGCCGAGGAGTAGTATCCGATCGACGAGAATTCGGTGCGGATGAGTTTGAGCGTGTCGATGGAGAGTGCAGGGATAGGTGAGAAGAGGCCAATTGAACTCAGTAGGAATCTGATTACGTCTTCTTGTGTTAGCCAACAGTATTCGGATCCGTTATGGATTGTTGAAGCATTGGATGCTTTTTGCAGTAGTTTTCTTCTGGAGTTGCTCGTCATCTTGCTCTTGATTGGAACCACTAGGTTCTGAGCACCTTGGAGGATCAGATCAATTGCTTCCAGTAAACTACAAAAAAATGCATTCAATTTTCATCATTATAATGATGAGAGTACTAGATCCAGAAACAAACCCTAATTAAAGCTCAAATTCGAAATACAGAGCTATGAGATTCGATTTATGAAGGCGACAATACCGAGAAATTGAGGAGAGAGAGATGTATGAATTCTGCGGAAACAAACAAGGAGAGGAGAGAGAAAGAGAAGTTATCCATTACCTCGAAGAGGGATCCACGTGCTTGACGAGGCCAGGAAGCTTTGACAGCAGAGCAGAAACAGGGGACTTGAGAGCAGAGAACGGAGACGAGAGGTTGTCGTCTCTGCAGAGGAAGCAGATGACATCCACCATGCAAACCTTTCCAACGCAGCGACAGCCGTCGTCGTCGGCGGCGGCTTTGGACTGCGAGGAGTGGTCACAGCTCCATACGCTGATGTAAGTGTCTTCGGAGGCTTTGAGGGCGGACAAGGCGTCGCCGACGGTGGCGGAGACGGAGAGAGACCTCAGCGGCGGTTTGCCGAGGCAGAGATCAGCTATCTCATAGGCTAGCAAGCGAACTGCCATACAAGAGTAAATGAGGTTTAGAGAGAGAAAAATGCTGAGGATCTGTATAGAGAGAGAGAGAGTTTGGGTTGTTTTTCTGAGGAGGCATATATATATATAAAGACTATGTGTTTGCATCTTATGAGGTACCGTACAAAGTAGTATCAATGACTGGTGGGGCCCAACGTCAAGTAGGCCTCACTGAGGCTTTTGGGCCGCTGAAACCAGCATACTTTAATCCACGGTCCTTCAATATGAGAGTAGTGGTTAAGTTTAGACGTGTGTGAAAAAATAAAAAAAATCAACTGATTCTTGAGAAAATTAGATATATTTTCAATTGATTTGTTTTTCAGATTTGCACATGTTGAGAGAATATAAATATTATATCATATGTTATCAACTCAGAAAGGTGGTATAAGGAAATTATCTATAAAAGATCGTATCTTGCTGTCAAATTAGTTTTGTTAGCATTTTTTTTTTTTTTTCAATTAACCAACTTACATTGGAGAGAAAAGATAACATGTGATATTATTTCATTTAAATTGACTATTATCGGTCTCTCTTGTCAATTCGATATTTATCATTGTGTAAAAAGATTAAAATAATAACTAATAATAATAATAATTGGTGTTAGTTATGAATTTTCGGTAAATGTGATGCATAAGTTGTGTTTTTTTAATCGTTTAATGCCAGTGCTAATGTGGTTGGATTGTATTGGTCATTGTCAATGAGAAAATGGTGGTGTTATTTTAAAATTGAGATGAAAAAAAGAAAAAGAAAAAAAGAGCAGATGAAGAAATATGTAACAAACATAGTTATTAGGTATGTGCTTTTGTTTAATTGATTTATGCTTATTGGGTGGTGGATGCAGTTTGACTGCACATTTTATGATTTTTCAGGTGTGTAAGCTGCTTATTAGTATGAACATGAATTAAGTAATATGACAGTAATGCTGCCACCTACTAGTATGAACGCACACACACACACCTATTACATGTGGGGAAAATTAAATCTTGGTCTTAATGTTTAATTGTAACAACCAATAAGTACTATAAAATTTATTAGGATAATAAAGTCTTACTTTTGAGTTTTGATATATATATTTTTAATTAAGTTTAGAATTCTATCAATAATGATCTTTTAGGTTGTAAAAGGCTGCATGGAATTGGAACTTTGTGATTAGAATCGGTAGAATTTTAAAAAAAATTGGGTTTAAATTTCGTAATTGTTTTCTTAAATTTTACCAATTTCAATTCCATGCAACATAATACATTCTTGAGACATTGCCCTTTCTTTAATATTATTAATGTTATTTTACTATTGAAATACTAATTATACCCTTTACCTCTTATTTTTTAATTAGTATAAAATGAAAAGCACATACTCACCTAATTAGTAATTTTAAAAAATATTTAGGTTGTATTCGGCGGTATGGAATTGGAGTTTTGAAACTGAAAAAAATTTTAGTTCAATTTTGTAAATTGTTATTTTTTTCAATTTCACCCATTTTAATTTTAAGGCTCCAATTTAATGCAATAAAATATATATATATATATATATATATATATATATATATATATATATTGAATTTCACTATTCCTGGTGGAATATGTTGTAACATGCATAAAAAGTTTCACTTTTCTCTTTCATGTACTAAATTCATGAATAATACAGCAATGACAAATTTATATTGCATGTTTTCATTTTTTTTTTCCCCTACTTCACATATTCTCAGAACAAATTATTTCAAAAAAGTAAATACTAGATTTATATAAATTTGAGCTTTTTTTTTTTAAAAAAAAAAAAAAAAAAAATGTGCACCAAGATAATTTTATTTTAAATTTATGTTCTCGTAGATATTTTATAAGAAAGCGTAATACCGAAAAAAAAGTTATTGTTAGTTGACCTATGAACTTAGTTGGATTTTTTTTTTGTACTATTATTATTAGAAGTAGGTATTTATATCTTAATAAAATTTCACAAGACTTAATTGCCAATTAGAGCGGACGACTATCGACTTGCATGTGATTTTTACTTAAATTTTAATTTTAGTTTATTTTATCGTGATAAAAAGCTCACATATCCACATTGTTTACCATTGACCTATTTTACTTGTAATTTTATATGAATACCACTTGGTAATTGATGACAAGAATGCTAAACCTTGTGCGAACACAAATATTACGTTATGTCTTAGTCCTTTTTAATTGCAAAGACCAAAAAGTACAATAAAAACTTTTTAGAATAACAAAGTCTACTTAGCAAAAATTAAATAAATAAATTAGTTGTGCAAGAGAGAGATTTTAATGAAAAAGGAAATATTTTTGAAAAGCAGCCTTTTCTAATCACGCATCATTGCAATCAATCTTCATAAGTGGAGACATAATTTGATTATCATTGACACTACAGAATTTTTTTTTTTTCGAGGGTAAGAGGATCATAAATTTCTCCAAGGAAGAGTTGGAAGTTTAATAAGTTGAAAATTAGGTACTTGTAAATTGGGATTGCTAGTTTATGAATTGTACACTCTTCTTATGTATCAGAGATATCAAACATAAATATTTGTGTAAACTTTACTTACCTTTTATGAAATTTGTCAATATCTCACATAAACGATTTGTTTCATAATCTCACTTGTCTCTCTTGAAGTTATGGTTTATGTAACTGTTTTTTCTCTGTATAAAAATAAATAGAATCCACAGATGCCAACTACAAAAAATAAATAGAAAATCAATTTTGCCAATTGAAAAGACAACAAACATTTCACGAGAAAAACGATAAAATAACACACTGCCGTGAGATTTTGGAACGTAAAAGGGATCATTTGTGAAATTTATGCTATACTTTTATGTTCAACCCCTCCTAATTCACTAAAGCAAAAAAAATGTTTGAATAAATTATTTTGATTAATCAATATTGTGATTACTAATAGGTTTTATCCTAAATGGTATAGTGTTTGAATCTCCGTGGCGGATAAAAATACAAAGTGAGTGTGTATTTGTTTGAATTTCGGACTAATCAATAATATTAAGATCCCAACTAGACCGACAAATCCTAGTGATTAGGCTAATGAGGGTGATGGAGCTTGATTTGATCCAGAGTCGGAGACACGAGTGCACCACATGGCTAGTCTAGTCTTGAGAAATCAATTCTGGTGATAAGCCCAATTAAAAATGTATTAGCTATCATTATTATGTCTTATAGAAAGTAATTGATGTGATAAATAGATTCCCCCAAGTTTATCAGCAAGTGCTTAATCGAGGACCATTAAAAATAAATTTAGGATATGATTTTTAATTTGAACATTTTAATAATTTTGGTATATATATATTTTAAGGGGCTGGTAGAGGGTTTGTGTCTGCATCTCACACCAGAAATATAATCCATGTTCCCAAAATCTTAAAAAGCTGTCAAGTGACACAATTAGGATCTTTGTGACAGGCCTAATCTAGGGTTATGTGAAGTCCCATTTAGCTAATCACATGGCTTGCCACCTAGATCATAAATTCCTAGTCATCTTTATGGACCACGTGTAACATCCCTATAGGGGTCAGATTTGCACTAGAAGCACGAGGGACAACAATCTTGCTCGAGCGCTTACCCTTTAAATTAAAAAAAAAAAAAAAAAAACAATCTTGCTCGAGCACCTTTTTTTTTTACAAAAAGAAAAAAAGTGTCAAGGTTAAATCTATCTTTAATATTTTCTTTTCGTACTTACATTATTGCCCATCTAGACTACTTTATAGGATCAACGCGTATAGCAAATAAAAAAATAGAAAATAAATAAAAATAGGATCTGAATCAGTACTTTTAAGAACGGTAATAATATATTAATTACAAATTCATCCCAAAATAATAAGTTACTCTTTAAGTTATATAAAACGGAAATGAACCAAAACGAGAGCAAATTCGAAAGTAAAAATGTGAAAACGACATAATTAAATTATAAATAATAAAAATTTAGATTAAAACATACACAAAACGTGTTCGAAACGTAAAGAGTGAAATTGTATGACTTAAATTACTTTTCGGTTTTTGTTTATGATTTTTTTATTATTTTTATTTTTTGAGAATATCGATAAAATGGAGAATCGTACCTGCATAGAAGAGCTGGGCGCGTGATGAAAAATGTCTGTCGCATTCATTAGATACCAGACAAACTAGAGACAACTAGACATAAGGGTACCAGAAAATTTGATACGGTCAGAATTCTTTCAGGTACTAGTTGGATTTTAGTGCAATTTAAATGCGGATTTACTAAACATTCATCCATCAAATTTAATTGGAAAATATAACACATGCAACTGTGTTCAATCAGAAAATAATCTTTTAAATAAATAATATAAGGATAAATTATATGAACATCTCTTATAATTTATTATAATTATAAAGAATTTTTTTTTGATTTAAAAAATTATTCATACCTCTTTTAAAAATAAAACTAATTTATATGGACCTTCCTTTGTAGTAATGGACCATCAAATGCATTAACAGATTTTAAAATTCTTATAATAAATAACTGAAGTACCTATCTACAGGTCTGTGAGAGAGAAGATGGACCAAAGGTAATATTGAAATTTTAATTTATTCAGTAGATAACATCAACAAAATTCATTATCGACTCGCATTGATTGTAACAGAAAAAAAAAAAGTCTATAGATTAGTTTTATTTTTTAAAAGAGGTCTGAGTAATTTCTCAAATCACAAAAGAAGTCACTTTAATTATGATAAACTATAAAAAAAAAAAATTGTATAATTTATCCATAATAACAATCACATTACATTTGTTATTGACTCGCATTTCAACATTGGTTTAACAATATGACCTTTTTCATTTGATACTGTTACTTGCTATTACATTCTGGATTTGATTGTGTAGTAAACAATAATGAAGTTAGACATATATTGTCCAAATTTTAAAGAAATGAATCATGCAATGTGAGTCCTAATTCTAATCTTCACTAGTATTCTAATCTTCACTAGTTTCATCTCGACTCATCACTTAACTAATTTGGCAGACAAACAAATTAATTTATGTATGGTGCTGTGATTTGCTAATACTGCTTACAA